TTGATTTTAATACTTTCTAGGTTATTATTCTTGTTTTGTAAAAAAAAATTAAAAATTAGAACAATGTGTTGAAGTGAACAACAATCTTCACGGTTGGATCCATTAGAACAGTGTGTTGAAGCAAAAAGTCCTTGTTGTTGTTCATGTTCATCCATTACCTCCTCCATCTTCTCCAAAATCTCCACCGTGGTTGGCCTATTTTCTTGGAAACGTGTTACACACATGAAAATCTCTACATCCTATTCATTCAAAAAAAAAATTGTTATAAAACCGGTTTTAATCTTGATAACCGGTTTGTGGTTTATAACCGGTTTTAAATTAAAACCGGTTATGAACCACAAACCGGTTTTGAAACCGATTTTAAATCGGTTTGGACAAATTAAAAACCGATTTTTTTTTAAAAGTGGTTCGGTTTAAAATTCAAACCGTTTAAAACTGGTTTGGTTCGGTTTTTGACAATAACCGAACCGAACCGCTCCATGCACACCCCTAACCGCGGGGTACATAAGATGTGTCCCATAGAGGATGAAGTATGTTGATATAAGGGGTGGTTATAGTGGCAATGGTGGAGACCAAAACACTAGTGAAGCTTTCCAAGATACATCAGGGGGGTGTATGGCAAGGATGGCTCTGCAGAGGAGCAGAGTAACAACATAGATTGAGAGTGGAGAAGAAGATCTCTCTCCATGTGTGAGAGGGGTATTTAGAGAGGAGAGTCCTCTCTAGCATGGAGGAGTGAGTTGATCAGTCCCATGAGCTGTCTCATCAAGTCAAGTATTGTCCTGAGACAAGACATGTTGCCCACTGTCAATGTATAAGGGCAGCTGTACAGGGGAGGGAAATGTCCCAATGGTGAGCCTCTATGGCTTGCCATAGATGCCCTCTAGAAAGCTATAGATGTGAGCTTTAAGAGATTGAACCCAACTGGTAGGCCTAAATACTTCGCTTAGGAATTGAATCAACAATCTTTCAACCATAACAGGTAGCTCTTACGACATAACCCACTTAACAACTATGTCACCCTTTTATATTAGGGAAAAATGTGTATAATGTTAAAAAATATAAAGTTGTGCTATTTTAAGTGAGAGAAAGAGATAGATCATGAGAGAGATTGGATGGGAAATTTTTTAAAAGTATGAGTCACATCTCTTTGTGAGAGTGAAATGACACAAAATGTGTCACTTAAAATAACACAACTTTTCCCTTTATATATTATTGAATAATCTAAATTTGGCCGACGAAAAGCTACCCAGTATTAGATTTTTCAACTATTTAAATGTCACTTTGCAAAAATAAAATAAAAAATCCCAAATAATTCAAAATAGAAAAAAATTACCAAAATGATAACGCGCATTGAAAGAATGCGTGTTTAAGTCGTGCGTGAATTAATCTGCATAATTGATCAAATTAATTATTGCCAAGTGGTGTAATTTTAATCAGCTACGATTTTTTGCGACAATTTACTAAAGCAGAGACACGTACCAAGCCACGAACCTCATGTGGGACTGGTCGACGTAACAAATTATTCAATTCCCTTGAATAAAATTAGTCACGGTTATCCAATTCCCTATTGATAATTTTTTTTTTATTTTAGTATTTTTTAAAAGAATATAGTTATAATAGTGAAAAAGCCCAAAGCATTATGTGATATTTTTTATTCACGTATCACAAATGAATAACTGAATTTAGTGCATTTTTGCCCATTTGTTTTATGATATATGAACAAGAAACATAATATTATCTAAAAAAAATATATGATACAATATCTTTTTTCAGATATCACAAAATAAATAAACAAATACATATAAATCTTCCATGTATGTAATGCCCTAAGGATTTATTCCAATCATGGAGCATTAGTATACATATTTTCATCTGGCATTGCCTCTCTTATCCATTCGGCATTTGGACGAACATTTGATGCTTGTTTTGCGTGCAATCCAATGGACGTTTGCTGTAAGCCTCCACGAAAACCAACGAATATACGCGTTGACGTATTGTCGAGAATCTCGAGATGACTCGGAACTTCTGTCAAGTAGTCTCATTAATTTGTGTAGGACTTTTAAATTTTAATACAGTTAGTGCGTCGAACATATTTGAAAGTAGTTCTTGGAGATGGGAATGTTTTTGTTTAAATATATCATCTCCACTTCAACAAAACCCCTTTACACAATATATTTATTAAATTATACGCCATGAAGATGGCAAGTTGTTGCTTGGATAAGATTACATTAAATTAATAATTAACATATAAATATGAGGCTGTCATTGCCGATGATGCTTTCTCTTTCAAATTGCCAAAAAAAAATTAATAATTAACATATAAATATAATTTTTAAAAATAAATGCATTTCTTATGATCAAAGATGTAATATAAAATAATTAATCTATTGTTTTAATAGAATAAGTCATCTATTTTAATCTGATAACTTAAGTTTTTTTTTTTTAGACATATGACTAAATGATTTAAAGTTTGATCCTTATTCTCCCTTTCTATTAATAATTTTTAATAAATATTATAAAATTTCTTAACATAAGTAAGTGTGGATGATATAATGGTCCGATAAAAAAACTTAATTTCCTGATTTTAGTTGTGCGTAAGAAAATTTTTCTCTAAAATAATGACTTGAGGATGACATACTGAGTGAAAGAAACACACATTTATTTTGAAATAAATAAATGAATAAATTGTTATTATATATATATATACTATAAATAACTATATAATCTTTAATAATTGTACACATATATTATTTAAATTCAATTAAAGACATTAAAAATGCATCAAAATCTTAATATACCTCAAATATTTCTCAATGAAGATTAATTCGAATCAAGATTATAAGTTGAATAATTTTTAAAAAAATGGGGAGGGCCAAATCCCAGAAAAAAAGTTAACAAGGTGAAGAGAAATCTTAAACCAGAATATTATTCATAATTTCATATAAGCTAATAAAGACTAAAGAGTCGTGGTAGAATGAGGTGAAGATTTTAATTTTAGGAAAAATATTTCTCCGTTCACCAGAAATAAAATTATTTTTAGTGAGCTCAAAATAATATTGTTTTGAATTATAAGATTAAAAAATTATAATGATAAAGACTAAAATAACCCTGCAATATATTATAATTATAAAAACACCTTAATTTTCAGCCCAAAATGACGTCGTTTTGATCTCACTGGAGATAACTTATCTCCATTGACCGGAGAAATTCTTTACCCTTAATTTTAATACATTTTTAATATAAAAAACTAAGCTTACAACTAATAATATATCAACATATTATTGAATGAGATTGATTCTGTTAATAATTATATTATAATCAAACTGATTAAATAATAAGTGTTTGTGGGGTCCATTAAAATTACGTATATTGATTGATATTTACCAAAATAATAATAAGGAAAAAATATTTATTCGACAATTTTTTATTTAAAACTATTATTTTTTATTTAATATTTAAATTAAAAAAATTTCACTTTCTCCTATAATGTTTCTATTATGTAACTGATTCTTTCACAAAACATATTATTTTTTACTAAAATAATATAATTCTATATCTTTTAAAAAAATAAATATTAATTCCTAATAATAATAATGAGATAATATCACTGAACGGATCTTAAATGACAAAAATTTAATAATATAATATAAGTCTGATTAAAAATATAGTATAATAAATAATAAAAGAATAATATTTGAAAATAATTATTCCTTTCGAAAATGTAGCATCTCTGTGCAGAAGATATAAAAAAAATATTCGATATTTTTGAAATAGAAAAGTATTTTAATTTAAAATTTATTGTATTTTTTTTATTCTTATTTATTACTAAAGGGATTAAATATTCTCTCGATATTAGAATTAGCTTATTACGGGTTTATGTATAAAAAAAAGCTTATAACGGATTAGAAGTTAAATCTGTCTAGTTGGACTAACTTTATAAATGTCATTAAAAGATGTCCACAATCATGTAATCAACATCATATTTAAGTTATATTGAAATTTATAAATTTCAATTACATGAATCTATTATTGCAAATTTAAGAAAAAAATGCAAACTAATGACTAAAAAATAAGTAAATAAAAATCACTACCAATTACCAAATATGTACATCAACTAATTAGGAGTTATTTCAACTTAATTCATAATCTGGAGTAATCGGAAAAATAGATGATATAAGAAAATTAAAAAATCCAAACAAATTGCACACATAATCAACATTCAACACGCCATGGACCCACTAAACCCGAGTCAAAGTGGCTTGTAGACCGATTTTTTTTTTTTGACAATTTTTTATACTCAAAGAAATTATTATTATTGTTATTATTGAATTGTGTGAAAATAATAAAATACTACTAAATAGGTTATGATAATTATACAAGTAATTTAACTTTAAAAAGTATCAATAAAAATATTATAATTTCAAAATGTATACATAATTAATTAAAATAAAATTTAAAAAATATAAATCACAATAGAAAAAATTGAAATGATAAATTAAACATAATTAATTTAAAATTTATAAAATTAGAATTAAAATAACTCATGTCATTTTCAAAAACAAAAATTAAATTACTTCTAAAATACTATGCTTTAATTTTAAAATATAAAAAGGGGAGTCATTAGAGTTTAGGGAAAAAAATGTTAAATAAAAGTAAAACCATATACCTTTAAAAAATTATAATAAATAATTATGTATTTTTAACAATGAAGATCATATTTTATTAAATAAGAGTGTGGATAAAATGAAAATACAATATTTTGAAAGAAAAGTAATAATAAGAGAAATTAGTGCTGTACCTTGTCGCTTTGGCGGTTCTTTATCCCGATCTGCTTTCCGTCCAAATGAGATACCGCTGAGCTGGTTTTGTCAAAAACAACAAACAAACAAAGAAACAAAGTCCACTAACTACAACTGATACGCGTCAGTTACAATTTAAGAATGTTCATAGCAAATTCCCTTATCTCTTTATGAAACGCATCTCGAGCCTTTCTTGTCTCGTATTGTTTTTTTCATGGGTATTCGCTTTTCATCTTGTCACGCTCATTCAACTGCCTCTCCATCTCCCACTCCCACTTTGGGGGGACTACCGGAGAGTTGCGTCGCTTTGATCCTCGGATACGCCGAACCTCCGCAGATTTGTAAACTAGCAACGTTAAACCGCACTTTTCGTGCTGCTTCCTGTGCTGATTTTGTGTGGGAGTCGAAACTCCCAGCCAATTACGATGTTCTTGTTACTAAAATCTTCGGTGATTTTCCCATCAATTTGGGCAAAAGAGCAATCTACGCTTCCCTTTGTCGCCTCAATTCTTTTGACGGAGGCACCAAGGTAATGAGATATGTTTAAATTAAGTCAAACTTGAAGATTCTCAAACTTGTGCTTAATTTGTTGTTTGGGAATAAATTGTTGGTATAGCACCAAAGATTCAGTACATACTATCAATAGAAGTATTACATGTCAAATTTTTTCTGTCAAATTTTTTTTTCTCCTATTATGTATAATGCTTTCATTGGTGAAATGGACACTTTAATGCAAGAGTAATACCAAAGATTTATTTGTTGTTTGGCTGATGAGTTTGAATACATTTGTTTTTGCAGAAAGTTTGGCTGGATAGAAGCACGGGTAAGCTTTGTCTGTCCATATCATCCAAGGGACTATCAATAACCGGGATTGACGATCGAAGATATTGGAATTATATCCCCACCGAAGAATCTAGGTGAGATTCTTCACATTCATCTTCTTAGCATATAGAAATTTTCTAGCATTGGGAATGGGAGCACTCCTGTTTCTTATCATGTAGCCGTATTTTTTGGATGACTTATTTCTAACATTTTGGTCTGATGATTGATGATGTGGGGCAAGTAAGGGAATGAGGGGAGGGCAAGGGAAGGAATTGAGGGATAGAGAAACTCAAAGTGGAGAAAAAGATGATAAAGAAAACGGGGAAGGATATTCTAAAAGCATTACTGTCAATCTTACTACCAATCAATTTCACCGTTAGATCGATTATGTTATCCAATGATTATATTTATTTTTATCTTTGTATGATTATGATTTTTCATATTTAATACTTCATATTTATTTCTATTTTTGTATAGTTATTATTTCTCATATTTAATTGCTTTCACATTAAATATGGGGAATCAAAACCATACAAAGATGGAAATAAATATAACCGTTGGATCAACATAATTGATCTAACGGTGAAATTCATTGGTAGTAACACTAATTGTTGTTACAATATCCTACTCGAAAGAAAATATTCAATTCTCAATTTAAGTTTAAGGGGGTGTATTAGATTGAGATTTTAATGGATTGTTTTTGAAAAAAAAATCAATTGATATTTAATTAGGATTGATGGATAATTTCATATAACAATTTTAATAAACATTTTTAAAAAATATTGAAAAAAATGAAATAAAAGATTTTAAACGTGAATAATATGCTCCATCACCCTAATATCATGTAAAGGTATCACACAGTCTTAATGAATTTTATGCCAATAAATTTTGGGATAGGTTATTCTACCTATCATTTACCTTTGCCTACAACTCTAAAATACCGTAAGATCAGAATCTTAACTAATCTTTATCTTTCTCTCTCCGCTTGAGATTCTGATCTAATAGTATTTCAGAGTGGTAAGCAAAAGTAGGCAGAAAAAATGGTAGGTAGAATAACATATCCCATAAATTTTTGATTTGATTATCCTTCTTAAGAATTTTTTTTGAATATTTGTTAAAAATTCATATAATTTTTTAAAATCTTATAAATTTATATTGTCCTTTCAAATCTTATAAATTCTATAAACCTTTAAAATCCAATTTTATAAATTCTTGATCGTAAAAAAAGTCTTTTAAAAAAGCCTTTAAACTCACTACAATTCTAGGTAATTTTTTAAAATTTATAGGTTTTTTAATCTCAAAATAGTGTTTTAAAATCCTAATCAATACAAAATCCAGGGCATAACAATCCTTGAATAGACCAACCCAGCTTGTTTACGGTGCAATGATAAAATACTAAAATCTCAAAATAATCCTAGCGTGGATCAAAGAAAAAACTAATAACTCAAAATACTAAAAGAGGGGAATAAATAATAAACTCATCAACTACATGACATGTGAACTAAGGAGTCAACAAACAATCTCACTTGTGTCTTCTTCTAATTTTATTTTAAATATTAAAGCATGAAATTGAAATCCATACAAGTACGGTCTATATATTTAGGAATATTAAAAAAAAAAAATTTAAAATTATTTAGATTATTACATGATGTTCATAAAAAAATAATTTTTTAAAATTTTAATTGTTGTATAATAAATGATATGTTTGATAGAACAACAATAATAATAGTATTACATTATAATCTATTTAATAGGCAACTAATTATAGTCATATTGATTTTTTAGTACATCATTTGAAAGAGGAAAAACTTATATTGAAGTAAAATCATTGTCAACACGTGTATATTGTGCTCCTCCACTGAGCACATGTAGCTAATGTTATGCATATACAAACCATGGTTGGTGCTATTGTGAAGAAAAATTAGTCGATTTTGTTGAAGATTAGAAGTTGAATCACATTCTTGTACATGCTCCTTTTTCCTTTGTTTGTCTTGTTAATTATGCAAGTTGTGAAGCTCATAGTCAAGTAGTTTGATTGCCAAAATGATAAGTCTATTTTAATGGAGCTTTGTAATTAAAACTGAGTTATCTTCACAGATTCAATAATGTTGCATACCTCCAGCAAATCTGGTGGTTTCAAGTGGATGGTGAAGTAGAGTTTCCATTTCCAGCTGGGACATATAGCTTATTCTTCAGAATACATCTAGGGCGAGCCTCCAAGAGGTTTGGAAGACGGGTCTGCAACACTGAACATGTTCATGGGTGGGACAGAAAGCCTGTACGATTCCAGCTTTGGACTTCAGATGGGCAGTATGTTGCATCCCAGTGTTTTCTGAAAGGACCCGGCAAATGGAGTTTTTACCATGCAGGGGATTTTACTGTTGAGGATGGCAATGCATCAACAAAAATTAAGTTCTCTATGACTCAAATTGATTGCACACACACTAAAGGTGGTCTATGTCTAGATTCTGTGCTTGTATATCCAAGTGAATTCAAAAAGGTTAAAGCATTTTTGGATTGCTCCTAATCATTTTAGGTAGGATTAGAATGTATGTCTAACATGTATAGAACTTAGTGCGGCGTCAGGAGAAATGAAGAATCGAGTTTTTATGTGGTTCTTTAGTATTAGAATTTTGAAGAGGATGAATGTGTGTAATTTTACTAGTTTCTGTCGATTGGAATGGATCGTTCTTTCATACGATGTAAAGAATGTCAAAATTATTGCGAGGAACAAAACAATGTCAAAATTTGCCACTAATGAAAAGAAAGAACCATACTATGATATAATGTAAAGAATCAATTCAATCCAAAAGCTTAAGCTGTTACGTGACGTTACTTAACGAGTTTTATAATTCTCTAACACGTTAAAAATTGCAAAAGAAGGATAAGACTCCAAGATCCTTGAAGGAAATCAACATGGAGTTCCACAAACTCGCCAAGTAAGGTACCTATCACCATCTCATATACAGAGTTTCACTTGATATTTCCACACTTTAAACTGGTTTTCATATTTGTACAATGAATGGTAATGAATCAAAGAGGTTTGTAGGTTGCAGCTTTGCTTTTTGAGGCGGAGTTGTAGCAGAGATGGATGTGGAGAATTTGTCAGAAGATCTTGATGAGAATATTGACTAAATTGGACGAAATGTCAGCTGAGAGAGATCTGAGATTGAAGCGAAGAGAACAGGTAACCATTGAATAATTATATTCTATGAATTGCTAATTATGTCATTTAGTTATACGTTTTGGAAAAAAAAAATTGTTGAAGGTTATGATTATGACAGTTCAGAAGCATATTTTAAACTCTAGATATGTTGAAGATGCCAAACTCCATTTCCCACAAAAAAGAAGATAACATGTAGTAAATCAAGAGTAAGGTGTATTCAGTGTTTCAAAAGCAGCACATACAGGGAAGGCAAGGAAATACAACAGCAGAGCAAATTCCTTAGTAGCAACAACCGTTAAACATTCATAGTTGTAGTAACAACAAAATGGGAAACTTTTTATTAAAGCCCCCTAGATAGAAGAGTACATTCAGTACACTTAGTCGTCTAGGCGTGAGTGTTGCCAGTTTCTCTTCCCAGTTGATTTTGCCTTAGTATACTAAATTCGTTAACAGACCTACACAAATGATTGGGCTGCAATTTAATTCCAGAAGTTAGTTCTTGCATGGGGTGGTTAGTGTTTTGCTCTCTTCTCCTATTTGCTGCTGGGATGATCAGCTCTTTCCTATATATTCATAAAAATTTCTGAGGAGGTGGGTTTGCAGAGTTTGGGGCTGTAATGAAACTGTCTAGTTATAAATTTTAGATGGAAACAACAAAGAAATTTATTTATTTCAACACCAGCTGTGAATGCTCATCTCTGCCGCTTGGTTTTCATCCCCCTAGTCTGTCAGTGGGATTTTGCTAAAGGGAGAATTTTTTCTTTTGATATTGGTGCATAGGGACCATGTAACCAGTCATGACTCATGACCTTCATTATATACAGAAGATATTAATATTGAAATAAATTTTGCTGCTAGCTCGGGACCATTCCTCTATTAGGCCAATCACTTCACCAGATTCATTTTTTATATCTGAATCCTACTCTAAATTGAAGTGGCTAGCACTGGTATGTAAAGAATACAGATATTAATGATCTGTGAAGAACTTCAAGAGACTTGTTGTTTCCTTTAATCTGCACAACTATAACAACATTGGGAAATTATGTATGCCAAAAGTCAAGAAAAACTCTTCTTTGAGTGGAGTAACGTTCAAATTTCAAACAAACATATAACCAAAGTACCCAACAACAGAAACAAACCAGAAAGTTTAACTACGTGTCACTTTATCAAAAACAAATACCAGCCAAATCTGCCATCAATGCTACTGCAACACATGGGAGAGCTAGTTTTGATCTTCCAGATGTTTACATCCCACATTGTAATAGGAGAGACTATGAAAACAATATGATTGATTGCAGAAACAAGTTTTGCAATTATAACAACTCAAATCTGTACCAATCGTATTCTTGGAATAAATCTTTGGTGCTACTGTTGCACTAAGATTCAGTGCATCCTATTAATGAGATCATTACATATCATAGGAGAGAAAAAAAAACTTTAACTGACATATAATATTTCTATTGGTGGGATGTACTGAATCTTTGGTGCAACAATAGCACCAAAGCTTAAACGGCCAAGGAAAGAAATGAACTTGATCAGTAGTCGTTGGCCATTCTGGACAACTTAAGATTTATTTAACCAGTGTCTATCTTACGCGATTTTATCAAAATAGAAAACCTGATTTCCTTTTGCCCCACAAAGAATTGGAAAATCATCAAATGATAGGAACCCACAGAATCACCACCCCAAATGCTAATTCAAAGGATGAGATTGTTCAAAACCTTATAAATCTCATACTAGTTGCCTACACTATCAATATGGGATTCCTAACACTTACCTCGTAGGAGAAGTTTAAATTGTGAAGTTCCAAAACCTGCACCCAATATGTAACCCATTATTAATTACTACACCTAACTAAATCACGATCCATTTCATTTGTACTTCGTTGAACTAAATAAAAAAAAATGGAATGTGCATATGCAATTGTAAATCTTAGACTTATTTATTGTCCAATTGTTTTAGGCCTGGGATCTGGCATATGGATTTAGAGTTTACTAAATAAAGCATAACAAGCCAATCGCATTAAATTCAAATTTGAACAATTTGTAATTCATACTCCAACTCCAATTGCGTCTCCACCCAAACTCCAGGGCTCCCAATTGAAACATGAAAGAAACATTACCATGGTAATGTGTAGTACTTAACAATTTATAATACGAAACTATAACGCCAACAGTTCTCGTACACCTCAGGGGCAAAAGTAGGACGGCCCGGCCTATAAGGATCTATGGCCTATCCTATATTAAGTCAGACTCGGCCAATTATATATAGGCAAATAGAACAGACTCAAACTTTTAAGAAAGCCTATTTAAGAAGTAGACCATAGACTTTTTTTTAACATACCGGGCATATAAGCCTACATGCCGGCCTATATCATATTATTTATTTTAAAAAATAAAATAATATTATTTATAGTAGCTCCAAATGGTGATAGCTCAGTTGGTGCATATGAGATGTGTAGGTGGTGGAAGGACCTAAGTTTGATTCCCACCAATACAATCTTTAGGAGGGACATAAAATATATACCAATCTTTTCAGTAGCATCAGAATCAACATTTAGTGCTGGAGGAAGAATTATTGATGCTTATCGTTCTAGCTTGGCTGAAGATACCGTCCAAGCTTTAATATGTGGTGAAAATTGGCTACGTAATAAATATGGATTGAAGAAAAAATAAAAGGTATAAAAAGGGTTTTTGTTTCTTAATCTTATTTTCTTTCTATTCTTTAATCTTATTTTTTGTTTTCTACATTTACAAATTGTTTGCCAACTTATGTAATCTTGGAATTGTATTTGCACGAGAGAGAAGATGATGAGAAGTTTTTGGCTACTACAAGCATCATGATGTGTTTGTAGGGTTCTTAAAGTTATTTTAATTTACATAGTATGGATTAGTTTGCTAAATCTGATGAAATATATGTTATTTGGTTTGGGCATTTTACTTTTGAAAATGACTTAAATGCAGATTGTGATAAGTTATTGTTGTGATTTATGTTCTGTTGGGACGTTGAAATTGTGATTTTTGTTTTAACAACAATCACAATATTTTGTGAAGTTGATTAATGGTGCTGCTTGGAAGTTAAAAATTAACATACTAACGAGACCATTTGTTTTTTTATAAATGGATCAGACTATGCTCATAGTTAGACTCATACTATGCTATCGGGCTAGGTCAAATTGAAATTTTTTGACATAGACTTAGACTTTTCAGGACAAAACTCGGTCCAGTCCAGCCTAACCCACTTTCACTCTTACGGTACACCCAATCAAACAATGACGTTATTCTGGCTCCTAAAATCCGTACTGTTCATCTCGCACGTCTATATGCTATGCTATCCGAGAATTTCAAATCGGGACCGTTTGCTTTTATGTGAAAATGGAAAAAATTTGAAGTGGTCCAACCGTCCAAGCCATGTGAAAAATTGGGTGGTCCTTCTTCATGTGTTTTTTTTAGAAATATGCATTCACTGATAGCTCAAAAGACAAATCACAATAAGTGGGCCGACACCAAATTTCTATTGGAATTTATATATATATATATATAAATTGTATAGACAATCTATTGGTTATGAATAAGAAGTTTGGTAGTGAAAAGGTGTGCCTTTTCGTCGACAAACAGATGTATCTTTTCATCCTAAACGATGTGTTGTTTCATCCTAACGGACATGTTTCATCCTAACGGACATGTTGTTTCATCCTTGAATGGGTGTCTCTTCATGTTGAACGAATGTGTCTTTTCGTGTCGAACGAATGTGTCTTTTCGTGTCCAACGAATGTGTTGTTTCGTCGTCGAATAGGTGCCTTTTGGAACGTGACTTTACGTTGTCTATAAATAGACACTGACACCTTCAGAAAATGGATCCAATTTTCTGCACTGAAACTCTGCCGGAATTTTTCTCCTTCCGGTTTTGCATATTCCTTTTCATACTCCGGTGTGATTTCCTCTGGCATATTGTTGTGTTCGTTTGGGCTGTTGATTGGTAGTGCCGCCATTCTTCAGACGAAATCCGTTCTATCCTGGGAGACAAGTGTCCATCAACCTTGGGCATCAGTGAGGGGGCAAATTGTCTTAAGGAGACACGTTCTGTGGGCTCGGATTTTATTCCTCTGATATTGCATTTTTCATTCTTTTGATTCTGTCTGTTTCATACATATCAAGTAAGTCTATTTTTTAATATTTTTAATTGCACAGTGACAATTCTGATCATCTACTCCCTTCTGGTTTATTCATGGGTTCAAACCTCTTAGTGATTTAACATCACCCACTGTCTTCTATAACAATCTTAAGACAATTTAGTGTTTTGAACCTGTGATCAGTATATTTTATTTTCTGTATTATATACTGTTTTTAATTTACTAATTAAAAAATTAATCTGTGTGATTGATCGGAGTTTTTGTTTGTGTAACAGAAATAAAATTTCTAATATGTGTATTAGGATAATTTTTATTTGGATACCAATCTGTGTTCTAATGGCAGAATTTCTATATTTTTTTGTGAATTTTAAATCTGTGT